CTCAAAGTGTGACCCTCAAGACCAGAATCTGCAGCCTCATACCCCTGCACAGCTATTAGAAATGCAGAGTCCTTTGACCCACTGTAGACCTGCTTAATGAGAATTTGTCCTGAATTACAATTCCTGGTGAGTTGTATCCACAGGAATTGGGGAGGTGCTGGTGTAAGTGGGTTTCCTCTCCTGTAGACATTAACATTTGGGGCAGGATAATTATCGGTGTTGAGTGTTATCCTATTAATTGTGAGTGTTTTACAGCATCCCACCTTACATTGCCAGGTAACCCCAGGAGCAAAACCATCTCTAGATGAGAACCACAAACCAAAGCCTGAGAACTGGAAGCATCCTGATAGAATTCCAATCAAGATCCCATCCAAAAATCAATTTGTAATTTTCTGCAGAACATTCAATTCCTCTGAGCCCCATTCCTGAAACAGAGGATGAAGTTATAATAGTGCTACCTCACAGAAGGAACTTCTCTAGAAATTAAATCAGATCATCCTTATATTGTGCTAAGGTAGGTCATGGTGCTTGAAAATATCTAAATATATCTCATAACTTACATATACTTTATAATGAGGGACAAAATGACAGCTCTCAACTTTGGGTATAATATGAAGTTCCTAATGGTTTTAGCAAGTGTCAGGAAACCAAAGATTTCCCAGGTGGTGCAGTGGTAAAGAATCCTCCTGCAATGCAGGAGATGTGGGTTCAATCCCTGGATTGGGAACACTGACTGGAGGAGGAAATGGCAACCCACTCCAGTATTCTTGCCAGCAAAATCTCATAGACAGAGGAGCCTGGCAGGCTGCTGTCCATAGGGTCATAAAGACTTGGACAGACTGAGAATGCATGAAAAAAAAAAAAATGAAAGTCAGGAAGACAAAGGGTGCACTGCCAAATGTTTTCCATTAGAGCAACAAAACTGGCCCTCTTATAATGAAGGGAATAATTATTTCCTAAGGGTTTCATAGGCTGTTAGCCATCACAAGTTAATGCTTTAATGATTCAAGGGAACTAGTCAAGACAGTTGCCTTAGACTCAGATGTTGGAGAAAACTTAAATTCAGAATTGAGATACAGTACTGGGAGTTTAGATCTCTGGAAAGGAAGAAGAGTTAATGGAGGATGATTAATAAACATTGAAATCTCCTGACTTATAGCTAGTATCCTGGGAACAGAGAATCAAAAAACAAAAATCCTTTTTTTTCCAGACCAGTGTCCACAGGGAAATCACATAGTAACAAGGGTGGGTTACTACTACAAGGCTTAGAACAAGAGGAAAATGAACCTACTTAGCAGACAGAGGGAGCGGTAAATATCTCCTCTGTTGCATCCCTGAGCTTGTACAACCTTGGCACAGACTAGACCTGGTTGCTCCTTTTGGAGTCCTAAGTCTGACTAAAGGACCAATACTTGAACCCTACATGCTCTCTCATCTGGGGACAGAGCTCCAGTCTCCATCATCAACCACCCAGGAAGGGATTCAGACTTCCACGGGGAGACCTTCCTTTAAGAGTTCCCATGCAAGAGATTTCAAGAACCCAAAATACACTACAAGAAAAGGTCAGAGAGAATTTTCACTAGCAGTCATCTGAGAACCATTTCAGCCTAACCCTGAGCCCAGAGATCACTACAGTTGGTTTCTTGCTTGATTAAATATCAATTCATTTTTATGATGCTAGAAAGAGAAATGAGCGTTCAACTCAGTATGGCAATATTCAGTGATGCTAATTAAATGATATAAATGTAAGCCCAAATAGAAGAGGGGTGAGAAACATAAAGTGCTTCCAGTAGAAGTAAAACAAATATCCAATTTATTGTATCTTATTCATTTACTGGAGTAGAAAAATTGGGTATTAGCAATGGATAGATATAAGACATAGTGAGGGCATTTCTTTTTGATCTGTTTTAAATTGGAGATAATTGCTTTACAATATTGTATTGGTTTCTGACATACATCAACATGAATCAGTCATAGGTAAACATATGTTTACCCTCCCTCTTGAACCTCCCTCCCACCTTCCCCATCCCACGCCTCTAGGTTGTCACAGAGTACTGCTTTGAGCTTCTTGAATCATACAGCAAATTCCCACTGGCTATCTCTTTCTATCTTATTTTACATGTAGCATTTCTTTCTAATTTTTATGCCAGGACATATTTGATCATGTTTCAGTGTTGATTAGAAAGATCCATACTAAGGAATGACTGCAAATACACCCTTGAAACAGCAATTGCCAAAGACATAAACTTCGCAGTTTTCTCCTGTGAAAGAAATGAAAAAAAAATTATGATGTGAAAAGGAGTGTGCTAATGAACTCAGTTTCCAACTATTTCATTACCTCTGAGGATGAATATATATGTGGATTTGTTAGCCCTTTTTCTCTCTTATCAGCTTGAGTCTTCTGATTTTGTGTAATAGGATCTGTGAGCTTTTATTCATATTTTTTAGTGCAGTCTCTCAAAGAATTGGAGTTTTTCACAAATTGGCTGTTTTAGTTGCTTTATGTAAGTATAATTGTATTGTAGAGGGATTGTGAGTGTATTTAACTTTTGTGTAGTCACATCTACCATCGGTCATATTGTGTTTTCTCCATTGCTCTTCAATTTTAATTTTTTCCTGAAAGAATTGGGCCAGCCTATTACTACTATTCACCTGCAAATCACCATTTTAAACAAAATGAGTAGTGAAAAGTCTGCCAGTCTCATGCTAATAAATCACCCTTTATAAGTTCCCAGCAAGTTTTACATCTAATTATTCCTTAATGCTCTTTCTGACATTTTGTGACTAGTGTGTGTTGTGTGTGTTAGTTGCTCAGTCATGTCCAACTCTTTGTGACCTCATGGCCCCTCTGTCCATAGAAACCTCTGGGCAAGGATACTGGAGTGATTGCCATTCCCTTTTCCAAGGGATCTTCCCCACCCAGGGATCGAACCCAGGTCTCCTGCATTTGTGATTGTATCTATATCTAAATGTTGCCTCACATTCAGCCATCATGAGGAAAACATCATTTTTTACCATTTGACTAAAGATCACTTATACCTCCTTTAAGCATATTGAAAGCCACAAATTTCCATAAACGTGAAATAACAACTTGGATACTGCTTTCTCCTTACATTTTATTTTTTAATTAATTTTTATTGGAGTATAGTTGCTTTACAATATTGTGTTAGTTTCTATGGTACAGCAAAATGAATCAGCCATACATATACATATATACCCTCCCTTCTGTAATTCTTTCCACTCAGGTCCCCACAGGGCATGAAGTAGAGTTCCCTATGCTGTACAATAGGTTTTCATTATTTATCTATTTTATACATAGTATCAATAGTGTACAAGTGTCAATCTCGATGTCCCAATTCCTCCCACCTCCTCTTGTCCCCTTGGTGTCCATACATTTGTTCTCTATGTCTGCATCTCTATTTCTGCTTTTCATATGACCCAGCAATCTCACTCCTGGGCATATACCCAGAGAAAACCATAATTCAAAAATATACGTGCACCCCAATGTTCATTGCAGCACTATTTACAATAGCCAGGACATGGAAGAAACCTAAATGTCCAACAACAGAGAAATGGATAAAGAAAAAAAGACTGGAATTGTTTCCATGTCTGAAGGTTTTGTATGTGTGTGTGGACTGCAGAGGTCACTGATGGTTGGGCAAAGATCAGAACTAGGACTAGAACATGCCCATAGGACTTATCAGAAAGGCAATCAAAACCCAAAAAGAACAAAGAGAAGATGCCACATGTGAAAACAGAGATAGAATTTTGCCAATAGGAGAGTATCATATAAAACCAGTAGCTCAAATAAATATTAAATAGTCCCAGGAAAAACAAGATTTGTTGCATGAGACTAAAAATGGCCAACATTCAATTCATATTCATTGTACCTTATATACATCTTTTTATAAAGTGTTGGGTTTTTCCCTTTGCTCATTTTTCTCTTCTACTGTACAATTTGTATTAGAGGAGGATTATAGATATATAGATTTATATACAGGCATCTTTGCTCACTGAAAAGAGCAAATAATGTATGCTTAATACAAGGAAGAAAATGACCATACCAAAATAAAACTCAAGTTTATTGGTATCTGAGATTATAAACCAGAATTGCTAGATGCCAGCTGTAAATAATTTGATCTGATTGACTTGAGTTGTATCAACTAAGTCAACTACCAATCAGGGTAGTTGGGAGTGAAAAATACATGGAAGTAATATAGCCTAGGAAGCCACGGTCTACTGTGTGTGTGAGAGAGAGACATGGTGCCTTGTGGAGTGTGAGAAGTCCTGAGATCAGGGGTGCTGAACTGATACAGATGACTCATACAGGTGACTCATACAGAGGCCATAACTCAGTCAGCAGAAGGATTTATTTAAACACACAGGACAGTCTTACAACAATTTCAGAAAGTGCTAGAGGAACATAGTATGGATGAAAGACTCCCGTGACTTGCAATTTCAGCAGCATCAAGAGGCCACCTTGTCCTCAACATCCTCTGACAACACCAGTCCTCACTCTACCTCTTGTCCATTACCCTCCCCACACTGGCTTCCTTTCTTTAAACTAGAACATCTTAAACAAGCACCAGCACCAGGGCCTTTGCACTGGCTGTTCTCCCTGCCAAGCACACACTTGATATATTCAAGGCTACTGCTCTCTCTTCATTGAGGTCTCTGTTCCAAGTCACCCTATCTGCATGCCTTGCTTGAACACCTTTAAAAAGTAACACCCCCTCTTTACTCTTTCCCCTTACACTTGCTTTCATTTTTTTCATAGTCTCTGTCACCATCTGACATGCTGTACTTTTTTATTTCCTATATTCTTTCTCCACGACTGGATTTTAGAAGAATTGGTTTTTCAGGACTGTATACTCTGCCAAATCCAAGAACAAAATACCGAAATTAATTTTTAACCACAAAATATAAATGGTAGCATTTCAGTGATGTGTGGGCAAATTAAACATGTCATTTTCCCCTTTCTTTTTAGTCACCTCCAAAATATGGCACAAAGGAACTTAACAAGACCTTCAGAATTTCTTCTCCTGGGATTCTCAGAGGAACCAGAACTACAACCCCTCGTATTTGGGCTTTTTCTCTCCATGTACCTGATCACTGTGTTTGGAAACCTGCTCATCATCCTGGCCATCAGCTCAGACTCCCAACTCCACACCCCCATGTACTTCTTCCTCTCCAACCTGTCCTTTGTAGACATCTGCTTCACCTCCACCACCATCCCCAAAATGCTATGGAACACCTACATCCAAAGCCAAGTTATAACCTATGAAGCCTGCATCATTCAGGTGTATTTTTTAATGCTGTTTGCAGGGTTGGATGACTTCCTCCTGACGGTAATGGCCTATGACCGCTTTGCAGCTATCTGTCACCCCCTGTACTACATAGTCATCATGAATCCAAAAGTCTGTAGAATTTTGGTTCTGGTTAGCTGGGCCATCAGTGTCCTGCATTCATTGTTACAGACCTTAATGGTGTTGAGACTGTCCTTCTGTGGAGAGTTGGAAGTCCCTCACTATTTCTGTGAACTCAATCAGATAGTCCAACTTGCTTGTTCTGACAGCTTTCCCAATGACTTGGTAATATACATCACAGCTGTGCTGCTAGCTGGTGGTCCCCTCACTGGAATCTTTTACTCTTATGCTAAGATAGCATCTTCCATCCACAGAATCTCATCTGCTCAGGGGAAGTATAAAGCATTTTCCACCTGTGTGTCTCACCTCTCAGTTGTCTCCTTATTTTATTGTACAAGCCTAGGGGTGTATGTTAGCTCTGCTGCTACCCACAGCTCCCAGTCAAGTGCAACAGCATCAATGATGTACACTGTGGTCACACCCATGCTGAATCCTTTCATCTATAGTCTAAGGAACAGAGACATAAAGAGGGCCCTGAAGGCTTTCTTCAGAATAGCAGCTATAAAAAGGACACTTGTCCTGAGATAAAGAAAGGCACATAATAGAAGGATTCAGAGATCTATTGCTCGAAATTGCAACTCTTTGATCAGGTTCTTTGATCTGGCTCTGAAAGTAGAACTTACTCCTTCTATTTATTTCCTGGGGTTTTCATTTCTTTTATTTCAACATCTCCATACAGTTTATGTCATTCACTTTATTGAAGTGTGTGCTCACTCTCTCTTTCACATACAAGAGTTTTTCTGTTTTATGGTTTTCTCATTTTCTCAGATTTAGAAGAAAATCTGAGAAAGAACCTTGGATCTCAACCTTGGATCTGAACAGTTGGGAAATTCCCATTATCCTATGATGAGATGTGTTTCTTAAGAACAATTTATTCTCAAGTAAAATATAAAGTGTCTTGCATATGTTGTCACCTGCATGCATCCTCTACAAATGGTTGTGCTTTTGTGTACTTTACAGTACAGTGTTGTATAGGGTAGAGTAATTCTCTTTATTTCAATCCCAGGATGTCCAAAAGCAAGCATAAAAGCAGTGGTGATGTTGTTGGTACTGCTAAGAAGCACCAAGTAAAAATGATGGAAACAAAAGTGAAAACAACTAAGGGACTGGAGCGAGGAACTGAAGGAATTGGAGGACCAGAGAAACGACTAAGACAAGAGGAAGAAGATATAACTGAAGAACCAGAGAGAACCATGACACAGAAAATAGCAAGGGAATTCTCTTTATCTGAAAGGGCACTTGATGCAAAGAGTCAACTCATTGGAAAAGACTCCAATGTTAGGAAAGATAGAGGGCAGGAGAAGGGGCAACAGCATGAGATGGCTGGATGGCATCACCGACTCAATGGATGTAAGTTTGAGCAAACTCAGGGAAATGGTGATGGACAGGAAAGCCTGTCCAAGAGGGAGGGAATATATGTATACATGTACCTAATTTACTTTGTCATACAGCAGAAACTGGGCTTTTCTTGTGGCTGAGATGGTAAAGAATCCACCTGCAATGTGGGAGACCTGGGTTCAATCTCTGAGTTGGGAAGACGCCCTGGAGAAAGGAAAGGCTACCCACTCCAGTATTCTGGTCTGGGGATTTCCATGGACTCTCCATGGGGTCTCACAGAGTCAGACAAGACTGAGCAACTGAACAACAAGAATAAATTAGTTTTTGAGGTGCAGGACCTGAATGTAGAATGGTACATGAAGGTTGCATCAGCCATTCAGAATGCAATCCAGCACTGCATTGTCATCTCTGATGGGAGAAAAAGCCACACCAAGACATCAACAGATTGTTTTTTCAAGTGCTTAGCTGCTCAGTCGTGTCTGACTCTTTGCAACCCCAAGGACTAGAGTCACCAGGCTCCTCTGTCCATGAAATTCTCCAAGCAAGAATACTGGAGTGGGTTGCTTCTCCAGAGACTCTTCCCAAGCCAGGGGTCAAACCCAGGTCTCCTGCATTGCAGGTAGATTTTTACCATCTGAGCAAACAGAGAAGGCAGAGAATAATGGAGTGGGCAACCTATCCCTTCTCCTGGGGAACTTCCTGACCCAGGAATCGAAACAGGGTCTCCTGCATTGCAGGCAGATTCTTCACCAACTGAGCTACCGGAGTAGCCTGGGAGCTACGAGGGAAGTTTTCTCAAGAGGGTAGATCAAACGAATCCAGCAAGGAATCAGAACCTGGTATCAACATCAATGTATGAGTGGAATTTCAGCTTCCATCTCCTACTGTTAATGATCCCTCAACTCTACCATCTCCCATCTCCTCTCCCTCCTCCAGTCAATAATTCTTGTCTGTTCACTCAACACCAACCCCTATATGCTAGCTGCTATACTCCACTACTGTACTTCTCTGTACTCTACTACTGTACTTACTACTGTAAGATTAAGACGGTTTTCTTTATGTTTTGTACTTGTTTTTCATGTGTTATTTGTGCAAAAAGTAGTACAAACCTATTATAGTGATGGTGGTGGTTTAGTCACTCAGTCATGTTTGACTCTTTGTGACTCCATCACCTGTAGCCTACCAGGCTCTTCTGTCCATGGGATTTCCCAGGCAAGAATACTGGAGTGGGTTGCCATTTCTCCAAGGAAACTGATTACAGTATAATACTATGTGTTAGTACTATAGTATAGTACTATTGTGTTAGTTGGGTAGGCTAATTGTGTTGGACTTACAAACAAATCGGACTTATGAACACAGTCTTGGAAAGGAACTCATTCATATCTAGGAAACTTACTGTATTATATTTCTGTTTCCCCCTGAAAATTTACAGTGCTGCCCACTCATGAATCTTTCCATAGCTCTAAATTAAACACCTCACTCTTCTAAAGTTAGGCATAATTTAAAAAAAGAATCAACAATTGTACATTTGAATATCATCCATTGTAAGTCCTCATTATGATCAGAAATCTCTTCAATTATTATGATCAAAGGGCAACTGACAAGAGAGGTTGAATTCCTGCCCAGCCTGTAATTCAGACTCACCAATTTTTCTCCACAAGTATTTATTTTATTCCAATCTCCTCTGGTTTCCTGGAAAGTAACATCAATGGAATCACATTTTAATACAGTTTTTTAAAGTAAACTTGAAAAACAGAATGATAATGAATGCTGTCTTAAATATTGATGCAAATGCCAAAAATAAGAAATAGCAGATGTTTACAATTCATATTTGTTTATTTTGGTTGTTTTTATCAATAAACTATCCAGTAGGTTGTC